GTGCAATAATAATGCCCTCCAATGATCTTTTATTTAGGTCCTTACCATTCCCGTGCACTTAGGCCACCCTGAACCCACACGAGATCCCCCCAGTCCAAAACTCAAAACTGTCCGAAATGACTCTGAATGCATTTCTAAGAGTTCTAAATTCAAATAAATGCCCTAAATGACTCTTGATACCCACACGACACACTAATCAGTGCACGACATGCAACATGAGGCGTTGAGAAAAAATAAAATTGAAAATCCAAAAAATACAGAAGAAAATCCAGAAAAATCTGGGACATCATAGATCAGAGAAAACAGATCTTATTTTTTCTACATTAGATTCAGATTCAACTAAGAAGAATTTTATATCACATTTTGAAGGGATCAAAGCATTTGTGGAGTGTTGTTGATCTACTAGTAATCCTTCCACATGGTTCGAGGCGTAAGTCTGAAGTCGAGAGTTGTTAAACGGGAAGTCGCAAAGTCAAGGACGTTCAGCGGATTGAGTCTTAGTAGAGCGAAGGGGTTTCAGTATGAATCAAAGTTTGATGTACTTTGTTTCATACATAGTGGATCTTTTTATGCTTGGGATAGTGCACAAAACCTCAGGGTTTTCCAATTGGTTTCCTCGCTAAAATCTGGTGTCACTCTAAACTTTACTTGCTTTCAATTTGTGTGATTGTTTAAATAACCAATAATTTTAGTAGAGTAAATTGGATAAAGAAACACGTGATTAATTCCTCTCTCAAAACAATTTTTAATAAAATAAAACTCAAACTTTCCACAACCTATTCCGCTGCACAACTCACAATTGGTATCAGAGCCAATCTTTACACATTGATTTAATCCTAGTGGAAGGTTTTTGTTTTTTTTTCAAAAATACTTTAATTATGTCTTATGTTTTGAAAGAGGGTGGATTTAATCAACGTGGTCCTTTATTCGAAGAAGACAATTAGAATGTTTGGAAATCAAAGATGAGAGCTTATTTGGAAAATTCAGGAGGTAAAGTCTAGGCTATTGTTGAGACACGCTATACACCTTCGACTGAGGAAAAAAGACAGGATGGTAAGATTGTTCAGGGTTTGAAGGACACCTTCACTTATACTGCACTTGAGACTAAGCGTAATGATGCTAATGGAAAATCTTTGTATGCAATAATTTTTTATTGTAAAACTACTACAGCCGCTTGGGATATTTTATAGGTTACTCATGAAGGAACATCAAAAGTAAAGTTATCCAAAATTCAAATGCTCTCTCACAAGTTTGGGAATATTGTGATGAAAGAAGATGAAACTTTTTCTGACTTTTATTCTAGTCTTTTTGAAATTATTTCAAAACTTCATCACTTAGACAAAATAGTTAGTGATAAGAAAATGTGTTAGAAAATCTTGAGATCTTTACCTAATAGATTTCATATTAGGGTAGAAACCATCACTGAACATTAGGATTTGTCTAGTGCTAAAGTATATGAGGTTGTTGGTCCTCTAAAAAATTTTAAGATGCAAAATTTTAGTCAAAGTCAAAAAGAAAAAAATCTGGCTTTAAAGTCAACTAAAGTTGAAAACACAGTTGATGATAATTTTAATGAAGATATGGCATTCATAACTAGACAATTTAATCAATTTTTGCAAAAACAAAGGAGAAGGAATGGCAATGAGGCCAATCCTCGTAATTTTGACAAGGGTTCAACTTTTAAGATGAATGAAAATAAAGGAGAATAGTCAAAAGAAACTAAACTTACTTGCTGGAATTGTGGTGGCAAAGGTCACACTTCGACTATTTGTCCTAGTCCTAAGAAAGATACAAAGGATAGGAAGACAAGAAAAACAATGAAAGCTTCAGTTTATGAGAATATTAGTCCCAGTGATAATGAATCATTTCATGATGATTGCCATGATTTTTCTTTTGTTATTTTTCTTGATAAAGGTCCTCATTTTGTTACTTTGTCTGATTATAATATTTCAGACAATGAAGATAGTAAATTCCATGATGACTAGGTTTAAGAGGATGAGATTGATGAAGAGTTACTGAAAAGAATGTTTGCAAAAACTATGAAAGTTAAATTGGCTATCAAGAAGTCAACAAAAGAACTTATTCAAGCCAAAGAAGAGAAAGATGAACTGAAAAAACAAGGTAATGAAGGTAAATTGAGAGTCATTGAAAGCAATTCCCTTATCTCTGATCTCAAAGATCGAAAAAGTCAAATATCTTGAAGGTGAGGTATATATAGCTAACTCTGTGAAAGATTCTTTTGTTTTTAGAATTGAATTTCTTGATATTGAAGTAAAGAAATCACAAGAGAAATTGATTGCTTTTACTTGTGGATAAGTCAAACTGAATAAGATGATAAATATTAGTAAGAATGTGAATGATAAAACAAGCTTAGGATTTGTTAAGGGCTTATCTAGTAATTAGGGTAAAACAATCTTTGTGAAACCTGTTAATAAGAACATTCCAGATCCTATTTTGGTTGATTCATTGCATTCTAATATGTCATATGTGCCTAATGTGTTGCATTGTACTTTTTGTGGTAGAATTAGACATAGCCAACATTATTGTTTTTGCAGGAAGAAGAAAAGTTTTTTTGACATTCATTCTCATGGGTTTCATGCTAAGAATAGGATGCATGCTAAGGAGAATCAAAATTTTATTTCACCAAAAAATTTTAAGGTTAAGAATTTGCATGAGAAGAAAGTCAAAATGAAAAACCTTCTCAAAAATTAAAAGTGAAGACTGTTGGATTAAGAAAGAAGAGTTAGTCAACTATGTGAGTCGTACGTAGCGGAATGTACTTAGAAAGTTTTGATTATTTTAAAACAGATCTGTGTCTTTACCAACTTTCTTTATTTTAGCAATTTATAAATTAATATCATGTAATATAAAATCAAGTAAAGTAAAGTTAGAGATGACACCAGGATTTTAGCGAAGAAACTCCAGTTAATAAAATATGTCAACTGTTATGGAAAAAACCTCGTGAACTGTGCAGTCCAAAGTAAACCGATCTACAATGCTTGAAATAAAGTACACTGAACTTTAACTCTGGCTCACACCCTATTACTCTACGAAATACCAACTACTGACAATCCTCTAGCTTTGCGACTCCTCGTCCAGAAGCAACTTGACCTCAGGCTTATGCTTGATATTTATAGAAGAGTAATAGGTAGAGTAGACAACACTCCTCGAATGCTCTAACCCTTTGAAAAGTTTGATTGCTTTTACTTCTATTCTTCAACTTTCTGAACTTGATGTAGAAGAAAATTTATTTTTGTCTGATCGATGTAGATGCAACTGTATGATCACAGTCAGGATTTGAACACCATAATTCTAAACTCTCTATGTGTTTATGTGTATGTGTTCTAGAAAGATGACAGAAAAATTAACTCTGATTTTCTGCAAAAATAATCTTTTCTAAGACTTTTAAGAATAATGAATTTGTAGAACAAAAGCCGTACCAAGCCTATGTGTGTGACATGGTTTATATAGAGGTTTACAAAGTCTTATTCCTTCTGAAAATAAAAGAAATTTCGTGCAGAAGACTTGAAAGGAAAGTTGGATCAAAAGGGAATTAAACAGAACAAGGAAACTGGAAACCTTTTGCAAACAGGATTTCTAGAACCGATTCCCAATCTTGGTACTGGTTCCCAAAGGACAAAAAGATTTTCTTGAATCTCAGCTTCTGGAACCGGTTCCCACATGCAGGTACCAGTTCCCACTTGACAGAATCTAACTTGAACTTGGATTTTCTGTATTTTTGGAACTCTGAAATTATACCATGTAGGTAATTATGTCCTAAGTGGGAAAAGATATCCTTATGTGTTGTTCTTTCCTTTTCGATGATCAACAGTACTCCGCAGTCGATGCCAATATGGTAACTAAAATTACAACTCGACTAAGACTTGTTTTGTTACAGAAATTTGCCAATAATAAAAAGATATCTCACAAACTATGTGTCGGTTGATTCTATGGAACTAGTTTCCAATAGGTCATTGAATACAAAACCCTCTAACTAAGTCCTAGGATGGTTAAGTGACCACAGATTGTGTTTATTGAATATATGTTTGCCATTGGATCACTTTTTGGTAGTTTATGGTTTGCTTGGGATTTTGGGAAAACAATGATTATATTTTTCTTGATGACGTACGTGAAAAATTCTTGCAATTGAATTTATGATTTGTTCTTGAATGCAAATTGAGACACATGATGATTTGACAAAATAGATTATTGGTTTGTAATCTATATAATGAAAAATAATTTGCTATGTTTATGTGATTTTTAGATTTGAATCTCTTAAGTTCATATCTCCACGTGCACTAGTTCATCTCTGAAGAAATTGATTGAAAATCATTGAAATGTTGACTAGGTTATATTGCTCATAAAAGTCAAAAAGGTTCGGGTATATTTTCATACACATCTAAGCAACAACAAATTGTGGTGCGCCCTTCTATCGAGGCTGAGTATATTTCAGCATCATTGGCAACTTCACAAGCAATATGGATAAGGAAAATTTTAGCAATTGTTGGTGAGAAGCAAGGTGAAGCTACGTACTCCAATTTGTGCGTGTGACAACAAATTCGTAATTGCTATGACAAGAATCCCGTCTTCCATAACCGTACAAGACGTATTTCCGTCAAGCATCACTTTATGACAGATGTGATGGAGGATGAAGAGATTCAACTAAAATATTGCTGGATCAAAGACCAAATTGCGGACATCTTCACCAAAGACTTTCAAGAGATAAATTTCAATACTTTAGAAAGTTGTTGGGTGTTATAACATGGCATTAAGGGAAGCGGGAGTGCTGAAATTAAATTTAAATTGTAATGCATGTTTATCTTTATTTTAAATATGATGTCCTATTTAGTCGTCTTTTATCTTATGTCTATGTATCTAAGTGTGTGACTGAAAGTTACTTAGAAAATACTTTGTATTTAGGAAAGCCCTATAGGTTTTTGGGAAAGCAAAATAAACCACTCAAATGGTGTGGAACAAAACATTCTGAGTTAGTCCGGCCATTTAATTTATAACATAATCTGGTTGATGCCCCGGTTCATGTGTTCTGTCTCTTTATTGTGGTTTGGTGCTCTGCACCTTTGTGTGTATATATATATATATATTCCATTGATTTATAGAATAAAAAAACAAAAAATTTCTTAAAAAAAAAATATGCATCTAAGATAGAGATCATCCAAGAATGTTATATGCATCTCTAAGATAGAGACCCATATTTATTGTCACTGGTCCATATTCAAACCACCCAGGAGCCACTTGCACACATGCTCACTGGTCCATATTCAAACCACCCAGGAGCCACTTGCACACATGCTCACTGGTCCATATTCAACCAACCATGAACCACTTGCACACATGCAGACAATGTTCGCAAGTAATTAATCATTTCCTAACATCTCACCTTGTGTACCTAGCTATTATATATATATAGGTTAGCAGGCAAACGAGGGATGAGAATGACCTCCGATGGGGTGGCTTTGAGGTTGGTTAGCCCAAAGCTCTCAGTCATATCTACTGGTTCATCGAAAGGAGTCCCAAATTCAAACCCATGAACCAAACTAGCCAGGGTGAGTTGCATGACTTGGAGGCCCAAAGATATTCCCGGACACATTCTTCTTCCACTCCCAAATGGTATCAACTCGAAATGCTGCCCTCTAACATCGACATCCTTGTGGCTGGTTAAGAATCTCTCAGGTCGAAACTCGTTTGGATCGGACCATACACGAGGATCGCGGTGTATTTTCCATAGGTTTACTAATAGTCGTGTGCCCTTCGGAATGTTGTAGCCACCCAGAATGCAGTCCTCTATGGACTCGTGTGGTATGGAGAGTGGTCCGGCTGGGTACAAACGCAACGTTTCTTTGAGGACCGCTTGGAGATAGACTAAGTTCTTGACATCCGTCTCGTCCACTAGCCGTTCTCTTCCAATGTGAACATGGAGCTCATCTTGAACCTTTTTAAGAACATGTCGATTGTTTAGAAGCAATGAGAGAGCCCATGTTAGAGTGACAGTTGTAGTGTCAGTGCCCCCTGTTAGAATTGCCTGCATATATAAGTTCATATATATATATATATATATATATATATATATATATATATATAGCTCAGAATTTACCTACACAACAACCATGAGACAGTGGCATGTTCAAAGCTCAAACTAGACAGTGACATTAATTTTGACTTGGACAGAGGTATGGATTAAAGATGGGCAGGTTACACCAGGATGTGTCAAATTAATTAGCCTCAATTTTGTAATTTAACATTTTACCCCTTTTTGTTTTTTTATGATAGAAAGAAAAGATAAAGTAATAATTAATTAGTTAATAACTAGGCAGTTGAACAGGTTAAACAAGATGATCAGCACTGGGATCAATTTGTACTTTTGGAAGCATATGTATACTCAATATTGAAGTCTATTTTGTGATATCATGTACTGATCATCATATATATATTTTTTAAAGTCAAAGAAGAAAACAAAGATGATCAAATCCATTGATGTAAAAGCCACCATATCTTTTATTAATTTTTTATTAATTTTTATTTTTGGAAGTGTTAAGCAAAAAGACGTGAATACGAGAAAGAAAAAGACGTGAAATATATATATATATATATATATATATATATATATATATCTAATGAATATGTATGATTATTTTACTAAAGAAAAAGACGTGAAATATATATATATATATAATGAAAATGTATGTACATGTAAAATTTTACATGAAGCACCATAATATCTGTAATGTACTAAATCGGAAATAGAATCTTCAAATTGCTTGCTGATAGGTATTCATTCATTGTAAGTCATTTCTGAACACACCAAAGACTGAAAAAAAGGGGGCAAAAAATAATAATAATAATAATAATACATTAACTTCTTCTTTTTTCCCCCCGGATAAGTAAAAATACATTACCCAGCTTTGAGAAAGCTAGAATTACTACCAAAAAAACAAAGCTAGAGCTATCAACTGCCACATGTGACGTGTTTTAATGTGAAATTGTAAAAACTTAAAGCATCTATAGTGAGGGCACCCTAGTTCAGATAGAGTTTGAAGGAGAAAAAAAAAAATGAAGTGATTTTGGTTATGCTTCATGTTCCGGCATTTACCTTTTTAAAATAATGCTCCAGCTAGCATTAGACAATTCCTTTAACATGCTCTAAATCAACTTAACCAAAATAAATTTGAGCTTGTTTTTTCTTCTTCTGTTTTCTCAACTGGGATATATGAGGCTTTGCCCCAATTAATCCCGGAATATTGTGGGACGTTGACTCATGGACGTTGTCCCCGTAAAATTATTCACACCGAGAATAGAATCTTAGACCTAATACTTTATGAGTAGACTTCTAACACCTTCTAATTATGAATTGGAGTTTGTTGAAACTGCTAAAATCTAGCAACATATATACCATCTAAATCTAAATCAACTTACCAGGCATGTAGCTTTAATGACTGTATCAGCATCATAACCGGGAAGTTCTTCAGGTCCGCTATATTCAAGAATGGACAGCATCACATCCATGAAGTCTTGTTGATTACTCTTCACCATCCCAAAATCTCTCTTTCTTTTATGCTCCTGTAACCAACCTTCAGCTATATGGTCCATTTCTTTTGCTGTCTTCTTCATGGCCTTCTCGTACACTCCCAAATCCAAACACCTCAGAAAAGGCATCGAATCAGACACCACAAACGCCCCCAGCAATTCAAAGAACTCTATGATGGCCTTTCCAAATCGTTCCTCATCACCCGAATATCGCTTCCCTACAAGAATCCTAACCATCATATTTAGGGTTAAATTCCCGAACCATCGCTTCATATCCAATTTCACCACATTAGTAACACTTCTTTTCTGAACCCATAACTCATACACCTCTCTTATGGCTGTTCTTAACTCTGACACTCTGACATGTCGTAGCATGTCAAGCAGGCGGTTGGATAGAAGCTCGAGCATGACAATCTTCCGGATTTGGCGCCAGTAATGGCAGTAAGGACTCAAACCAAACATGGCATAGTTGTACCCCAAGAGCTCCACTGCTAGAGACCTTGGACGGTTGGCGAAGACCCTGTCGTTCGTGGTGAAACATTCTTTAGCTATCTCCCAATCACTGACTACTAATGCTCGGTTTACCCCGAGCTTTATGGTGAAGATTGGCCCGTACTTGTCAGCCATTGAACCTAGGGTTCTGTGTGGCAATTGAGAGCCTCCTAAGAGATGGAGGTGACCCATCAGAGGCCATGCACCGGCAGCTCCCGGTGCATCTCTGTTCTGTGTAATGTTTCTCTTACTAATCTTTTTTGATATGGAAAACAAATAGATAAAGAGTACAACAACAAAGAGGCTAACAATTGTAGTTGTTGTGAGTGAAAGAAGAAACTCCATGTATTCTTGTTTTTGAGTGTTACTTTGGTGGGCATGGAGCAATGAATTAATCAGGACTGTATAAGAAACCACAGAACAATATTCGTTTTCACATATGACAATGAAGAAACTCCTGTTTATTTTGAATATTTAAATATATTAAAGAAAGTCAAATTCCTTTTTTTCTATACAAATTTCTTAACAAAGTTTTTTCTTTACATATTTTATTTCAGTGGTGCTGAATACATACGCATGCTCATGCTTCACCATTGTTTTATTTATTTTTTCTTTTTGGAAATTCGTTACATGCTTTCGTCATTGATGAGCTTTTGATGCACCTCCCAATAAGAAAATTTTTGGGCCTGTGACCTTGTCTTAGTCCGTAGTTCATTGCTCAAAAACCGAAAAGGACACTGGAATTTATAATTCCTTTTGTCCTAGTCCATTGTTCACTTTGTTTTTAAAAAATAATTACAATATAGAAAAGGTTCAAGATCAGAAGACTCATTATACGGTTCATAATTGTCTCAATGTTAATTGCTTTGTTTACTGACAAGTGACAAAGGCATCATCTGACCAGGGGGCTGCCCATTCTCACGAATTTTTTTTTTTTTTTTTCTAGTCATGTGATTATTTTCCGACCCTGTCACTGGATTTGATGGAAATTTTCTTTATGGAATATTTTACATGAAAAATAAAATTCAATTTCCACGTTTTCCATTTCTTTTTCAAACTTGAAATTGAGTTATTAATTTTCAAAGATGCACAAAATATTCACTTAGGTAAACATGTATATAAAGAAGAATATAAGCATTTATATACTAACAATTTAAATTAGTATATATAGATACATATATTGATAAGCAAACATATATTTATGAGTGTATGTACCCCAAAAAAAACATATCTATATTTATGTATATACGATTAAACGTGCAAACATATATATATATATATATATATATATATATATATATATATATGCAATCTTTTAGCAAAGATAAGGTTGGCCTTTCAATCATGTCCATGCCCTCTTAAATATCATAATTAAAACTTTTGGCAAAGTGGTACTGGTACAGGTTGTTATTTGGCAAGAAAGAGGTAGCAAATATGGATTCTGAGATCAGAGGATAAAGAAATTCTAATTTCAAATATAATAACCTGTATTTTCATTGACTCCGCTTTGGTCTTATGAGGGAAATCGTGCTTGCTTTTGTTGGACCGCACTTTCCATGAGGTGGCATGCATCACTCTTCAAAAATCTAAATCTAGAAGTTCTTGTTAGGTATAATGTCTCAAATCTCCTGGTCTAAACAGGTCTATATATAAAAGTTGTATGTTTGTTATGTATGTGTGTATATATATATATGGTTAGACACGAGGACAAATCTTAGTGCAACTATAGAATTACTCCATTGTACGTAATTTAGAGATCATGGGATGGGAGAAACGAAAAACTAATAATACAAAAGTAAGATTGTATATGTGGGGGCAAAAATCTCCCCTTCTAATTAAGGCAAGACACATTAATATATAAGGGGATAACTACAAACATTGAGACAATTCAACCTTCAAACTGGGCCTTTACAAGAAGCTTGGGACGGGTTAACTAAGCATAGTGGGCTGAACTCATTAAGAAGACCTGAGATGATGAGACCCCATGCCTAATTATGAATATATTACTAAACCCATTTTTAATAACAGTTCTATTATTAGAAGGATTATAATCTATGAAAACCAAATAATGTAAATCCTTATTATAAGGATAGTATAATGTGATTCAGATTCTTGAGGGACAAGCAATGCAAGTCCTAAAAGGACTCAATTAGGGATTTTCCTATATAAAAAGGGCTAAAGACCCTCAAAGGAGAACACACAGAGAAAAGGGCAAAGCCCCCAAAAAAAAGATCCAATTCTCATCGCCAGAACTACGTTCCGACCTGATTCCCATGCTCTGTGAGGCGGGATTCGTAGGCAATCTAGGTAATCCTATGTTTGGCCATAGTGTAACGACCCAATCATTTACCTTCCTTTCCTTTTTCCTGAAATTTTACGGATAAATTTTTTTCGTTTAATTTTCTTTTCTGAGTTTAGTTTCTCATCTAATAGTGTCATTCCGAGTGCTCGAAAATGGTTTCTAAGACTCTTTTGTTCGGATTGACAACTTCCTTTGAGGACCAAGTCATTTCCGCATATTTCGTTTTTCGACACTATTCACTTTCGTCCTTTTTTCCTATTTCGTCCTTTTCCCTATTCTGTTTTTTCTCCATTTGTCAGTTTTTGGCACAACCTCACTTTTCATGCTCGGAGTTAGTTTTTGACTTCACGTGCCTTCATCTTGAATGGTTTCCTTGAAATACGTATCTTTACTTTTGCAAAAAAGTACTCTGGTTGCTCCTAGTGTCCATAGGGGCATGGATGCACAATTCTTTAGAATCTAGTTCATTTCTTGGGGTGTTTTTCGTAAATATCTTTTGAAGATATTTTATTTCAGGCGTATCTAAGAAAATATCATTTGGAAGATATTTTCATTCTAGGGCAATTTCTCGGTTAACCCTTTTTGTAAGGGCTATTGTGCAATTAATGAAAGTTATTGCAAAATGTCTCGTCTGGAGCCTAGATCCTTGTACGGGATTCATTTTCACATTTCGTCGAGTCGTGGACTCCTAGAATTCCATTCTGGTCATTTTTCTCCAGTTTTAGAGTTTCCGGACCCGGTTGCCGCCGAACTTGTTCGGGACATAACTTTCTACTCTGGACTCGATTTTTGAAGCCGTTTCTTCCGTTATTCATATTTTATCATTTTGAATCTTTTTTGTTCACAGAGTTTTGCCGTTTGAGGGCGTTTACTCAAAAACCACTTTTCCGTATTAGGCGGGGCCCGTTCGGGGCACTTTTTGAGATTTCTATAAAGGGGGGATGAGATATATAATTTTTCATCTTCCCCACTCCTCTTGCACGACCTGAAGCAGTCATGGATGGCCATGGAGCTACCACTTTCTCTCTCCTCCTTTGATCTACTTTTCCTAAGTGAAAAGTCTTCGGCCTTCACATTTTTTGTTCCCCTCGACGTGTTCTACCATTCCCCCTTATTAGAATTCATTTCCGACCATTTCTTGAGTTTGGGTTTGAGGTCAAGTTGTGATTTTCTTGGGTTTCCTTCGGATTCATGTAGATCGTGTTGTCCCCGACAAAACCCTTCGGTTTCAGCAGATTCAGAGAACTTTTTTTTCGGTGGGCCTTTGAGGTTTTCATCTAAAATTGAGGTAGGGGCTGTTATAATTTACTTTCTTGCTCTATTACATGCTTGTGATGCTTATTCAACTCAATTGCATGCTTGGATATTAAATCTAGAATTTTTTATTATTTATTTTCTAGTATGAAATTTAATTTTCCCAGTGAGTTATAGTATGTTTTAAACTTGTGGCTTGACATTATATTACACCTTGATATGTTGATTGACATATATTAAAATTGGAGCATTTGGATAAGAAATGAAGATTTTATTTAATATTTATCTTGAATAAAATATTAATTCATGTGACCTTAACTAGTTTGAAATCAATGTGTGATAGCATATTATATTTGGCCTTAGCATGCTCTTTAACATAGTTGAATTTTAAAGTAACTGGAGGTGTTTTGAAAATTAGTAATTATTAATTAAGTTGATTAATTAATTTTCTCCGAGTGCACTATTCACTCCATTTGAATTCTGACTTGATATTCTTGATCTACATGCCATATAACTTCACATATATTTGATTTAGAATATTCAGTGAGGTTTTGAAATTTTCATTTAATTAATTTCTTTATTTAAGATTTAATTATTATGGTGATATGCAACTTGGAATTGAATTGGGGCATGCTCGAAAATTAGGCTTTGGTATGGTTATTCACATATATTAAATTGGGATTGATTACATGAGAATTACAACTTTTATTTTATATTTAACTTTAGTAAAAGTTTAATTCACATGGTCGTAAATTGAATGAAATAAACTTATAATGTGATATTACATTAGTCCTTAGCATGTTCTCTAAGATATGTTAAATTGAGAGCATTTGGTTAAGTTTGAAAATCTAGAGATTTTATTTAAAAGAATTAATTAAAATCTATTTTGTAGTCCCATTAGCTTAATTAAGATTTTAACTTGATATTTGTATTGGACATGACTTGTTTACTAATGTATATTAATTATGGACCATTTGAAGTTGCTTTAGAACCTTGGTAATTAAATTAGCATGATTTAATTAGAGTTCTACTTTGTTGTTCCAATAACCTAATTGAATTTTAGAATGGATATAGGTGATGACCATGCCATGTTCTTTAATATGTATTAATTTGAGGTTATTTGGAATTGAATTAGAATCTAGGGAATTTAATTATTTTTATTTAATTAAATTCTATCTAGTTGAGTCATGGATTTAATTGTGTTTGAAAGTCGTTTCTATATCAAAATCCTGGACATGGACTTGTTTTATATTCATTTGGTTATGTTTTGAGTATTAGATAACATAGTTGCTATGTTTATACTCATGAGAATATGTTTTCCTTATTGAATGTATTGTTGCCTTGTGTAATGATTTGGACATTTCGTATTTAACATCTTTCATGCATAGCGTGTAACGAATCGCACACTGAAGATTCAACATTCATCATATCATATTAGTTGTGGACTTAGAGCATGTATTGTATAGGTTTCCAAATTTGGTTGTGCACGGTAGATAGTTGATTATCTTGTATATATATGCTGATATATACGTTGTTGTACAACTTGTTAATTTTGGAAACTTGGGGATGTCGTTGTTTGGCTATGGCTAGGACGTGGTTCTAGTACGGGGGATAGTCCCTCTATATAGTCTAGTGCGCACATAGGGAGGTTACCCATAGGCTAGTAACCCTAAAGTAACCACATTGTCAGTTTGATCCGGCGTGACGTCCAAGTATTCACTTTATTTGATTTTGCATTTCATTTCAAGTTGATAACTAGATGATGTTATTACTTGTTATTTCTTACTTGTTTTCTCGTTTTAAGTTTCAGGATGTTTACTTTGAGAAACCATGCTTTACGCGTTATATTAGAAGTTCTAATGTTGGTT